ATCTGATGGACCAGAAAATGTGAAGGGCAACCCTTGGTCACCCAAAGCTTAGCCACCCTGCTTTAGCTGTAAAGTTCTAGAGAAACATTAGTGGATTGAACTAGTGTTATTTTAAAAAATCACAAGTTCTAGCTTTTTCAGTGGGCTAGTCAAAACTGCCTCCATTTTCATTATCAGAAAAAAAACAAAGGCGGTGGGAACTTAATATAGATATTCCCAGAAGGAGCTTGTGAGCACTAGAGTTTGATGAACCTCAGTCTGAGAAACTTGGATATAAATTTCTGAATCTGAGAGCAATGCATTATTCACATGTCACCTGGTAGAATGAATGAGAAATTATGCTATTCAATTCCCCTTATCTCACCCACCTTTGATACTCTGATAGCTCCCCCAGCAGAATTGCTGCATTGTGGTGCAAATAATCCCCATGCACGTAGGCACCATCTCTGTTGCTCTATGTAGTCTCAATTTAATGCCAAGCTTTGAATCAGGTAAGGCCATACTTTTACTTCTTGCTTTAATTTTACAGATGGAAGTAACAGGTATATGAAAGGTTGATTTTACTACAACTACCACTGCTATTATCACTACTATTACACTTAAAAAGTATCAACTGGGAAATTCTTTTTCACATCCCAGATGTGAGATCGTTTGCGACTATGTCATGATAATTTGCATAAGGGCATCTTAATGGTAAAGGGGGGGAAATAGCAGCTTTGGGATAATGCTGGAGGCAGTTTTTGCCACACAGACAAGATAATAGCAATAGCAATAGCAAGATGAACCATGGAAGAAGGGTTGACAGAATCGAGGAGGAGGAGGAGGTGAAGCTTCTCACGTTCTTCCTATATTATTTTGAGGGTAATATTGAGAGGCTATGTTATAACTGATAGGAATGCCCACAATATTACATGCCATACTTGCAGAAATAATGACAGCACCTGTAATTTGAGTGTGCCAAATATTAACCAGAAAGATCCTAGATAAATTTATTATTGAGAAATCTCATTGGTTCAGTGAGATTTATTTATTCCACCTATGATATGTATGTGTTCATCCTCCAAGTAATTTGCAGTCCATTTACTTTTAGGGGGTGGGGTTCCTTCAGGTCAGTGTTGACTCCTAGCAACTGCCTGGACAAGTCCCTGCAGTTTTCTCGGTAAGATTCAGAAGTGCTTTGCCCATGCCTTCTTCCTACAGCTTAGAGACAGTGACTAGCCCAAGGTCTCCCAGCTGGCTTTGTGCCTAAAGCAGGACTAGAACTCTCCTGGTTTCTAGCCTGGTGCCAATCACTACACAAAACTGGCTCCCATCTGTTTACTTACAGCCTCCTAAAATGGAACAGGTAAACCCAACGTTTTGCACTGAGCTCCTGTAATATTCATAGACTCTTTGCAGATACTAAAAGGAGACAGACTTTGGCATGCTAAGGGTTTGTACACTCCATTCTCAAGATAACATTTGATCTATTCAGGTTTTCTATTTCTAATTTCTTCCCAAAGATCATTTAGAGAAAGTGGCTAGAACATCCATCCAACAGAATACAGGAAACTGGCATTCCTATTTCAAAACATATTAGATCAAATTTAGATTAAAGGTGATTTCCTGCGCTTTAGTTTTATGAAACATAATTAACCACTACAGCCAGTTCTGGTTTCTTGTTGCCTATTTGTTTTAAAGTTTCACATCTTTAAAAGTACATGCTAATAAAATCGTTGACATGTCATTCTTAACACACATTCTGTGATAGCCCTAACCTTTCTTTGGCATGTAGTCATCGTAAAGAAAGTTCCATCTTGCTTTTTTTCCATGAATAAATGTTACTGTTCACACTGCTTGATCTAGTATCATTCTTGTACTCCATTTATTTTAAAAAGAAACTAAGCAGGATGGGTGGATGACCTGTTCTTCTCCAGTAGGTAGCTGTCAGCTGCTGCTATTAATTTCTACAATGTCTTGGAATATAGTGCAACTCCAAGAGACATGAACACTAAACAGGGTAAGCTGTTCTTGTGTCCTTGGAAAAGACAGTGGGGCAGATAGAGAAGTAGCATCAGGCGTGCCTGGCACTCAAAACCAGAAGTTCCTCAGAGCAAAAATCCTACCCCATGCTTATTCAAAAGGAAGTGATTCCCGACACACACGACAAACTCTCAAAATTCAAGCTTTCAAAGTGGCCTTTTATTTGTGGAAAGGATAATCAGAAAGTACCAACATTTTCCAGGCAAAGTGACACACAAAGGTGGCCCTGGATGATTAATTATAATATCCGTGTGTGCAGTTCAAAATTCCCCTGTATTGGTGAAGCTTGAAAAGTGGCAAAGAAAGTCTTCCAAAGAAAATTTAATGTCCCATCACCAGTGAACGTTAATTTTAATTTTTCCCATCACCATTCTCCAAAACATATCTTATATATCATCTTAGGTGCCAAACTTTTTATAAATGTAACTATATACATATATATATTTATGTGTTTGTTCTATGATATAATCAATAAATAGAAAATATGAGAATTTTTTTATAAATTACAATCTCTCGGTAGAAAAAGAAGGAAAATAAAAGAGTTTTGCCTAAAAGGCATAGACATTTCTGATTTCACACACACACACACACACACATACACACACATACACACCACTTTCTTAGTTAGAAGTCTAAGAGGTCTTTAACCCAAGATCAAAATAAGCCCAAACAGAGTCCCACATCTTAACAATCATTATTCCAGAATAAAACACACCAATTTAAGTTCATTTATTTGCCATTTCTCATTCTCAGAGGAATGTATCGCACTGCTATATACCATGGACTGGGCTACTGATTCCTCTAAGTCAGAGGTGGCGACAGCTTCATTTCAGAAGTGTCTGGAAGTGCTTGTATCACACCTGTCTAGAGAGATCTCTCCCTCCATCCCACAGGGGTGGGGAAGGGATAGGAGGCAAGACAGAAAGAGAAAGACAACCAAATAGCACATACACACACACACACACACACACACACAAAGAGAAAATGGAAGAGCCTCGTCCACCATTTGTTTGCTCTGTGCCAAGTCATTCTTGAGTCCTAGCAACAAGTCTTGCAGTTTTCTTGGCAAGGTTTTCAGGAGCTGTTTGCCCTGGCCTCCTTCTTCCTAGGGCTGAGAGGGAGTGACTGGCCCAAGGTCACCCAGCTGGCTTTGTGCCTCAGGCGGGACTAGAACTCACTGTCTCCCGGTTTCTAGCCTGGTGCCTTCACCACTACACCAGACTGGCTCTCATCCACCATTTGTAGTCCCCAATAAATTGACAAAGTCTCCTTTAAACTGAGTTCCACTGCTGGAGACTGCACAGACGTGTTCATATAATTTTCTTGGTAACAATACAGAAATGGTTTACCATTGTCTTCTTCCAGGATGTATTTTCCAGTCTTGCCCACAGCCCTGAAATTTCCCATTTAAGTACTTTTTAGCTTTTTAAGGTTAAAGTCCACTAGTTGCTGCCATGCAGCTGGGCCCCCAACAAAGTATTCCTCAAGGAATGCCACATTCAAAAGAAAAATGCTACCCTCCCACTACCCCCAGTTTAAATCAACCTGCCTGCCTACTTCAGGACCAACTGGTCCCAATAAATCTCGTTAAATGCAAGAGGAGCCATGTTTGAGTAGGCATGTCTAGAATTGTACCGCACGTCATTCCCTTACAGGATAGTTAAAGGGAAAAGCAGCTTCATAACTTTAGATTAAGTGCTCTTAATTAAGTACTCTGGGTGATTTAAGATTAGCATTAAAAGGCAGGCGTATCCATCCTTCAATACATAAAGAGGATTTCTATCAAAAGAAGCGATTGACATCTGAAGTGGATAGATATTCAGAATTAATTAGCTCTCAAGTGGCAAAGTGGCAAAGCTCTGAAGTATAACATAGATTGAACTGAACTCAGCAACTTCTAAGGAGCTACATTCAGTGCAGGGCTGATCTCCTGGCAAGGATGTTGGAGGTGGGAGCAGAGTGTCCAGTGCCCAACCCAACCAAGTCTTAAATCCCATTGATTTCAATGGGAGAAGAACTGAGCATACTTAAATTGGTGGATTGTGCCTCCCCCCCACCTTGTATTCTTAGGCTGCTCACACAAATTGTTTCAAAAGTGCTATTATCTCACCTAGATGCCCCTAGAAGATGGAAATCATTCTACCTTGAGAAAGGCTGCAATTCATTTTTTTAGCCTGTAACTCTTTATACAATTATCTGGGAATGCTAGGACATATGCCTGAGGAGGTTTGCACAGGTCTACATATGCCCAGAGGACATAAAGTGAGGCAACCTCTCCAAGAGAGCTGAACTCCAACATATTCAGAAGTCCCCTGGTTGGCAAAAGGGCAACAAGACCTCATTCCAAAGGAAGAGGTTAGCTAGCCTTGCTGGTTTAAGAGCTAGGTTTAAAGCAGACTTCCCTATTCTCACTCCTTCCATGTGTGCCGGAACAACCAATGAGTCTGGTATGCACCAAATTGGCAAAAGCTGCTTTAAAAGATGAGTACGCTTCATTGTATAACTTAGGGCTATTCCAAATGTTTTCAGTTTTAATGGAATCATACTACAGAAATATTGTACTAATATTATAACAACCAAGTAGTCAGCAGCCAAGGAACTGGGTCCCAGACTGGTGATGTTAAGGCAGGCATTCTATACATCGGACAGGACAGCCAGGTTTTATGGTGCAGTCACACCAGGGAAGGCAGCCCCTATGGCACTTATGGATCTTAAATCTTCCTATCAGTCCTGCGCTAGGCGCTGGAGTCTTCCTCACCAAAAGGAAGGGAAAGGACCTTGGGGAAAGTGCAGGGAAGTGGACAGAGACTTCCTATTTAAGGCAAAGGTTAGTTAAGACTCTGGAGGGAGGAATCCTTGCTTCTCCTCTCCTCGCCAATAGCCAATAGCCCTCTGTGCGCAGCAACCACTAGAGTCCCGCAGGGATCCTGGCCGCAGCTCGACCTCTTGCACAAAAGCACAGAGGAGGAGGGCGAAGTTCAGAGAAAGTCTGGAAAGGCCGCCTGGGTGGGGAGCCTGAGATAAGGAGGGCGGAAAGTGCGCGGGTCCTCCGCAGAGTCACTCGGGCTGAGGCTGCCCTCTCGCGAGCCGGGCGAATCCCACGGGCAGGGCCAGGCGGCGTGGCCATCGGGGTTCCCACCGCAGCCACCCAGTGGTGGGAAAGCAGCCTCCTGGGTCGGTCCAGCTGGCACGCTCTGATCAGCCAGGCGAAGGGTCTCGGTAAGCGCCCAGATGTAGTTGTGGGCGAAGCGGAGCGTCTCGATCTTGGTCAGCTTGGCGTCGTCGGGGAAGGTGGGCAGGACACCACGCAGCGCATCCAGGGCCGAGTTCAGGTTGTGCATCCGGTTGCGCTCGCGGTCGTTGGCCTTCATGCGGCGGCTCCGCTTGGCCCTGCTCGGCCCCAGACCGTCGCTCTTGCCTTTGCCGCGGCCTCGACGGCCTCTGGCCTTGGATGGGCCGTCCCCCTCGCAGGGCGCTGCGCTACCGCGGGCCGCCCGCTCTTCTGCTGCCTCCAATACAAGCAGGCAGGAGCCGGGAGAGGCAGGCTGGCGGCCGGTGGCCCGCGCGGGAGCGGAGGAGAAGGTGTCATCGTCGTCGTCGTCGTCCGAGATGCCCCAGGCGGGCGTCTCTCCCTCGCTCGTCTCCCGTGAGGCTGGCGAAGAGGCCGTCTGGGGAGACATCCTGAGGGGAGAGCGAGAGCGGAGAGGCCGGAGGCCGCGTTAGGTGGGGCGAGGCGCTGCCCAGGACGACCTCGCGGCTAAAAGGGCCCCATGGCCCGCGCGCGCCGCGAAGTAGAAGGACCCGCCAAGGAAGGCCGAAGGCTCCCCAAGCCTTCCTTCCCAGAAGCCGGTCCAGCTCTAAGACCCTCTTCGCGGCCCTTAGGAGTACCGCTCGTTTCTCTCAGAGAGCCTCTGCGCATAGGCAGAGCGCGTTCGCCTCTGCGTCCCGGCTGCGCGAAAGTGCGGCTTCGAAGGCTCCAGCATCTCCGCCGGGAGATGCTCCACCCGACCGGCAGCGGCTGCTTCTGCTTACCTGAGCCAGCGCCGAAGCTCTTCCTAGAAAAGGAGCCCAGCCAGGAGCCGAGAGGAGAGGAGAGGAGAGGAGCGCGCCTTCCCCGACGGCAGGCGAGTCGCGGCTGCACGGCGGGGAACAGCCTGCGGCCGGGGCCCCATAATTATGGCCCGGAAACAGGTGGGGCCTGTTCCCTCCGGGGTGCCTGTGGG